ACCATAATCACATTATTTATGGTATAATAGATTTAAACAATTTTAATATTTTTCTTCTTCTCCATCACCAAATTGTAGATTACTTCTTCAATAAGAAACTAAGTTAAAAGACTATTAATTAATCACACATATTTCAATTACATTGGTAATAATTCAAAATATATAATGAGGCTCGATAGTATAATTATTCACCATACTCATATGGTATTTTGGTATAATAGATGTAAACAATTTCAATATTTTTCTTCTTCTCTGTCTAAAATATTTAGATTACTTCATCACTAAGAAACAAAGTTAAAAGACTATTAATGAATTACATATATTTAATATACATTGGTATTAATTAAAATTATATAATTAGGCTCGATAGTTTATTTATTCACCATATTCACATTGTGTTATGCTATAATAGATGTAAACAGTTTCAATGTTTTTATTCTTCTCCGTCACCAAATTTTAGGTTACTATTTAACTAAGAAACTAAGTTAAAAGACTATTAACTTTTGACACATATTTCATATATATTGGCAATAATTCAAATTATATAATGAGGATCGATAGTATATTTATTCACCATACTCATATGGTATTATGGTATAATAGATATAAACAATTTCAATATTTTTCTTCTTCTCTGTCACAAAGTTTTATGTTACTTCATCCCTAAGAAACTAAGTTAAAAGACTATTAATTAATGATATATATTTCATATACATTGGTAATAATTAAAATTATATAATTAGGCTCGATAGTTTTTTTGTTCACCATTTTCACATTGTTTAATGGTATAATAGATGTAAACAGTTTCAATGTTTTACTTATTCTTCATCACCAAATTTTAGGTTACTTCTTCCCAAAAAAACTAAGTTAAAAGACTATTAATTAATGAAACATATTTCATATACATTGGTAATAATTCAAATTATATAATGAGGATCGATATTGTGTTTATTCACAATACTCATATGGTATTATGGTATAATAGATATAAACAATTTCAATATTTTTCTTCTTCTCAGTCACCAAATTTTAGGTTACTTTATCACTAAGAAACTAAGTTAAAAGACTATTAATTAATGACACATATTTCATATACATTGGTAATAATTAAAATTATATAACATGGCTCCATAGTTTATTTGTTCACCATAATCATATTTTTTATGGTATAATAGATGTAAACAATTTTAATATTTTTCTTCTTCTCCATCACCAAATTGTAGATTACTTCTTCAATAAGAAACTAAGTTAAAAGACTATTAATTAATGACACATATTTCAATTACATTGGTAATAATTCAAAATATATAATGAGGCTCGATAGTATAATTATTCACCATACTCATATGGTATTTTGGTATAATAGATGTAAACAATTTCAATATTTTTCTTCTTCTCTGTCTCAAATATTTAGATTACTTCATTACTAAGAAACAAAGTTAAAAGACTATTAATTAATTACATATATATACATTGGTATTAATTAAAATTATATAATTAGGCTCGATAGTTTATTTGTTCACCATATTCACATTGTGTTATGCTATAATAGATGTAAACAGTTTCAATATTTTTCTTCTTCTCAATCACCAAATTTTAGGTTACTATTTAACTAAGAAACTAAGTTAAAAGACTATTAACTTTTGACACATATTTCATATATATTGGCAATAATTCAAATTATAAAGTGAGGATCGATAGTATATTTATTTACCATACTCATATGGTATTATGGTATAATAGATATAAACATTTTCAATATTTTTCTTTTTCTCTGTCACAAAGTTTTAGGTTACATCATCACTAAGAAACTAAGTTAAAAGACTATTAATTAATGACACATATTTCATATACATTGGTAATAATTAAAATTATATAACATGGCTCCATAGTTTATTTGTTCACCATAATCACATTTTTTATGGTATAATAGATGTAAACAATTTTAATATTTTTCTTCTTCTCCATCACCAAATTGTAGATTACTTCTTCAATAAGAAACTAAGGTAAAAGACTATAAATTAATCACACATATTTCAATTACATTGGTAATAATTCAAAATATATAATGAGGCTCGATAGTATAATTATTCACCATACTCATATGGTATTTTGGTATAATAGATGTAAACAATTTCGATATTTTTCTTCTTCTCTGTCTAAAATATTTAGATTACTTCATCACTAAGAAACAAAGTTAAAAGACTATTAATGAATTACATATATTTAATATACATTGGTATTAATTAAAATTATATAATTAGGCTCGATAGTTTATTTGTTCACCATATTCACATTGTGTTATGCTATAATAGATGTAAACAGTTTCAATGTTTTTATTCTTCTCCGTCACCAAATTTTAGGTTACTATTTAACTAAGAAACTAAGTTAAAAGACTATTAACTTTTGACACATATTTCATATATATTGGCAATAATTCAAATTATATAGTGAGGATCGATAGTATATTTATTCACCATACTCATATGGTATTATGGTATAATAGATATAAACAATATCAATATTTTTCTTCTTCTCTGTCACAAAGTTTTATGTTACTTCATCCCTAAGAAACTAAGTTAAAAGACTATTAATTAATGATATATATTTCATATACATTGGTAATAATTAAAATTATATAATTAGGCTCGATAGTTTATTTGTTCACCATTTTCACATTGTGTAATGGTATAATAGATGTAAACAGTTTCAATGTTTTACTTATTCTTCATCACCAAATTTTAGGTTACATCTTCGCTAAAAAACTAAGTTAAAAGACTATTAATTAATGAAACATATTTCATATACATTGGTAATAATTCAAACTATATAATGAGGATCGATAGTATATTTATTCGCCATACTCAAATGGTATTATGGTATAATGGATATAAACAATTTCAATATTTTTCTTCTTCTCTGTCACAAAGTTTTAGGTTACTTCATCACTAAGAAACTAAGTTAAAAGACTATTCATTAATGACATATATTTCATATACATTGGTAATAATTAAAATTATATAATTAGGCTCGATAGTTTTTATGTTCACCATTTTCACATTGTTTAATGGTATAATATATCTAAACAGTTTTAATGTTTTACTTATTCTTAATCACCAAATTTTAGGTTACTTCTTCCCTAAAAAACTAAGTTAAAAGACTATTAATTAATGAAACATATTTCATATACATTGGTAATAATTCAAATTATATAATGAGGATCGATAGTGTATTTATTCACCATATTCATATGGTATTATGGTATAATAGATATAAACAATTTCAATATTTTTCTTCTTCTCAGTGACCAAATTCTAGGTTTCTTCATCACTAAGAAACTAAATTAAAAGACTAATAATTAATGACACATATTTCATATACATTGGTAATAATTAAAATTATATAACATGGCTCCATAGTTTATTTGTTCACCATAATCACATTTTTAATGGTATAATAGATGTAAACAATTTTAATATTTTTCTTCTTCTCCATCACCAAATTGTAGATTACTTCTTTAATAAGAAAAAAAGTTAAAAGACTATTAATTAATGACACATATTTCAATTACATTGGTAATAATTCAAAATATATAATGAGGCTCGATAGTATAATTATTCACCATACTCATATGGTATTTTGGTATAATAGATGTAAACAATTTCAATATTTTTCTTCTTATGTGTCTCAAATATTTAGATTACTTCATCACTAAGAAACAAAGTTAAAAGACTATTAATTAATTACATATATTTAATATACATTGGTATTAATTAAAATTATATAATTAGGCTCGATAGTTTATTTGTTCACCATATTCACATTGTGTTATGCTATAATAGATGTAAACAGTTTCATTATTTTTCTTCTTCTCCAACACCAAATTTTAGGTTACTTCTTAACTAAGAAACTAAGTTAAAAGACTATTAATTTTTGACACATATTTCATATATATTGGCAATAATTCAAATTATATAGTGAGGATCGATAGTATACTTATTCACCATACTCATATGGTATTATGGTATAATAGATATAAACAATTTCAATATTTTTCTTCTTCTCTGTAACAATGTTTTAGGTTACTTCATCACTAAGAAACTAAGTTAAAAGACTATTAATTAATGACACATATTTCATATACATTGGTAATAATTAAAATTATATAATTAGGCTCGATAGTTTATTTGTTCACCATATTCACATTGTGTAATGGTATAATAGATGTAAACATTTTCAATATTTTACTTCTTCTTCATCACCAAATTTTAGGTTACTTCTTCACTAAGAAACTAAGTTAAAAGACTATTAATTAATGAATCATATTTCATATACATTGGTAATAATTCAAATTATATAATGAGGATCGATAGTGTATTTATTCGCCATACTCATATGGTATTATGCTATAATAGATATAAACATTTTCAATATTTTTCTTATTCTCCGTCACAAAATTTTAGGTTACTTCATCACTAAGAAACTAAGTTTAAAGACTATTAATTAATGACACATATTTCATATACATTGGTAATAATTAAAATTATATAATTAGGCTCAATAGTTTATTTGTTCACCATATTCACATTGTGTAATGGTATAATAGATGTAAACAGTTTCAATATTTTACTTCTTCTTCATCACCAAATTTTAGGTTACTTATTCACTAAGAAACTACGTTAAAAGACTATTAATTAATGACACATATTTCATATACATTGCTAATAATTGAAATTATATAATGAGGATCGCTAGTATATTTATTCACCATACTCATATGGTATTATGGTATAATAGATATAAACAATTTCAATATTTTTCTTCTTCTATGTCACAAAATTTTAGGTTATTTCTTGAATAAGAAATTAAGTTAAAAGACTATTAATTAATGAGACATATTTCATATACATTGGTAATAATTCAAAATATATAATGAGGCTCGATAGTATAATTATTCACCATACTCATATGGTATTTTGGTATAATAGATGTAAACAATTTCAATATTTTTCTTCTTCTCTGTCAGAAATATGTAGATTACTTCATCACCAAGAAACTAAGTTAAAAGACTATTAATTAATTACATATATTTAATATACATTGGTATTAATTAAAATTATATAATTAGGCTCGATAGTTTGTTTGGTCACCATATTCACATTGTGTTATGCTATAATAGATGTAAACAATTTCAATATTTTTCTTCTTCTCCATCTCCAAATTTTAGGTTACTTCTTAACTAAGAAACTAAGTTAAAAGACTATTAATTTTTGACACATATTTCATATATATTGGCAATAATTCAAATTATATAGTGAGGATCGATAGTATATTTTTTCACCATACTCATATGGTATTATGGTATCACTACGCCAAAAAAGACTTACGAAAGCGCTTTTTTTGGCCTTTAAAAGCGCTTAAAAGCGCTTTCGTAGGTGGCACTGCTATAGGTTTTAGCAGCGCTTTTTGTTTAATGAAAAGCGCTTTCGTAGGTCTACCTAATACAACACCTTTTCTAAAAAGCGCTCTCCTAAGTAGGCTTTTGGCAGCGCTTTTTTATGAAGAAGCGCTTTCATAGGTCTACATAAGGCAGCACTTTTTTCTGGAAAAGCGCTCTCATATGTTTTCTTTTAGCAGCGCTTTTTCTGGAAAAGCGTTGTCTTAGGTAGGCTTTTAGCAATGCTTTTTTCTGGAAAAGCGCTTTCATAGGTGGTCTTTTAGCAGCGCTTTTTCCTGGAAAGCGCTGTCATATGTTTACCTTAGACAGCGCTTTTTGTGAAAAAGCGCTTTCATAGGTTACCTAAGGCAGCGTTTTTCTTGAAAAACCGCTTTCATAGGGTGTTTTTTTAGAGGTATAATTTATATAATTCATATACCTGCATTGTTTGCAGCATATTATTTATATAAACCAGTTGCAATAACCTGTAATTCATAAACCGCGGTAATGCATTGTATACCATTGTAATCCAAAATATATATACACCATTTTTGTACCTCAAAATATATAAAAACCATTGTTATCAGCATTGTAACTCAAAATCAGTCTTACAAAATCAACCCTAACAACAACTAAACGAGTCCTAATGTATGAAAGAAACACGGTCACTTATGTATTAAGGTCCTGGTCCTGCGAGGTTTGAACATAATAACACGATCAATATGGTATTCCATGTACACATGTAACGTATTCATAACACTTTTCACATAATAATGTATTCATACCTTATATGATTCTCTGCTCAATAAAATATTGACATAATTCCTCTTTGATTTTTTCCAACTGAAGTTTCGTGTAATATGCACATTTGTATTTATTGAAGTACTACATAACAAAACATAATATGCATGATTTAGTTAAAAGTAAAATATTATATGAAATATCCGAGAAATAATAAAACAAATCCTAAGTTATAAATCCATACCGTGACTGGTATCTCTATTTGATTCAGTTGAAGGATTTCTTTGATAAACCGCATAACGAAATATCTGTATTCTATACCGTTTTGCTGTTGAGGACACTACATAGAATGTAACCTTGAAAACATCATCCCACGAGCCTGATAATAATCAAAGAGAATAAATAGTGTCATATCGTCTTTCCAATGATAAGTTTTCGTAGAAAGATAATGAATATGGACCACTGCTACTTACCATGCTGTAGAATGTAACCTGTTGCTGCTGTTCCAAGCACACCAGCAAGTACTCCAGCGGTATTGGATAGACCGAGCAGTATCCCCTAAAAAAAAGAAATGAATATAGAAATCATATTTATTTCCATAAGGACGACAATTTAGCATAGTAAACCATCTTATTGTTTTTGCATTCTTGTTCTGCATTTCAAATTATAATGAAACCACTTACAGAATATCGAGGGGCTATATCTTGATGGTTTGAATATAATCCAGACTGAGAGAATGCATTTGTTCCCTGTTCAAGCAGAATTTGAAATAGGTGAGGCGAGGAACATGTAAGGTCAATGGAATTAATGGATTAACCAACGCTAACTAATTTTAAATGATGTTATAGCGAGAGAGAAATTTATAGTTAGACTGTCTTAAAAGAGGTTTCAAGACACAGTTGTAAAGAAAATTTAATTTTGCTGTTTAAGTTGCAGAATATGAAGCATCTGGTATGAACTAAAAACTAAGTAAAAGTTATAGAAGTGAACTCTGACTTAGGAACAATTGTTGTTAAATAGAAGCTATAACGATGCTATAGCGATAGAGAAGAAGAATTTGAACATATCATTATTGCTCCGCGATACATATTGAAAACAAAATGTTGTCAAATAGCAGCTATAACACTGTTGTATAGTGAAGTTTGAATAAACCATTTTTTCTACTATTTGCAATTGACAACACATTTTAGGAAAATAATTAGTAGTCACAGTTTCTCTAGAAAGATTTAAAGAGATGCACAACAACAGAATTTATGTTGGGATTATATGAAAATTCTTTATCAGAATAAGAAATGCATCAAATACAGAAGAAGCAAACCTGACTGCAAGTCATACACAAAACAACCATTACAGGAGAATGAATGTGGCTCAATTGAGTCAAGAAAAAAGTAGGACCTAGAAACCCAACTGTTTGCATTATCTGCAAAGAAAGTGTAGAACTATAGTGTGAATCGTGGTATTTAAAATATTTTATGTGCCTCTAAATAAGTAAACCATCAAAAGAATAAATTGTGAGAAGATAAATTGACGGGAGATACCTTGCGGACCGTTGTAACAGATACACCTTGGGTCACAAGAGTGTCTGCAATCCAACCACCAAAATTTGCAGAAATTGCCATCGTAAGCCATGGTAAAACACAAAATAGTCCTGATTCTATAAGATTGAACTTCAACACCTATTATATTTGAAAATACCTCTGGTTAACTTTAAAAAGTCATTTTCTTTTGAAGTATCCATTAAGATTGCAAATAAAAACATTTTGTGTATCTTGATGTTGGTTAAAACATGAGTCAAAATCTGAACTCTACTAGCTTCAGTCTTGACAGTGCTGAGTGAGAATTGAAGCTTGATGAATATAGGTATTTTTTCTTATGCATAGGTAAAGTTAACTTCATCATAGAAATAAATTCATGCACAAGAATGCAAAACATAAAAAGAAAAAAAAATGAAAATGAATCTAACTTTGCTAGCACCAAGTCGCTACGTAGCGAACATGCAAAGAAAAAAAGACTTACTTGGTTATAGTATGTTGGCATCCATGTAAGAAGAATGAAAGTTCCACAATTATGGCAAAAGTGGCACACTATCAGGGCCCAGACTGGTGGTTTAGACAAATTAATCTCCAAGGTATTTCCTTCACGGGTTCCTTGGACATACCGTTAGTAGCAATTAACTTCTTTTCTTCTGGCAACATTTCAGGATCATCGAGTGGAGAACTATGAGCCTATAGCTCCCAAAATAACATGGAAAATTAGCATGTGAAACAATAAAATTTCTACTTAGATAGAGCGAACTTTTTGGAAACAAAAAACAATATGTTGGTACTTGGTAGTTAGAAAACTTATAATGAAGATATTGACTTCAAAACAAAAAGTATTTCTATCGAGAAAATGTGTGTTGTGCATATATTTCCAAGTTTAGAAAGGATACATTTATGCATGAGTAATATTACATATGTGAATTCTAACCTTATTAAGCCATATACAAAACCAAACAGTCCCTAGAGAACCAATGGAGTAAAACACTGATGGCCATCCATACTGATGAATTAGGAAAGGTGAAAAGGCGAGTCCAGTGACTGATCCAAGGTACATGCCACTGTATACAAGAGCTAATGATCTACTTCTCTCTGCCACAGGAACCCATTTTGAAAGAATATTATTCATGGATGGCATAGCAACCCCCTAGTAAGATCCAAAACAAGTTAGCTCCACATGGAAAAAAGCTATCATCCTATTGTAGCATCACCAACTATATGAATCAAATCATTACTAAAATCAGAGACAGTATGGAGTCCAAAAATGAATGTTTCACTTTTATACTTTATTACAGTATATGTCCCTAGCCTAATTATGTTATATCTTTTTCCGCAACTGCAATAAATAATCGAATGGAAACGTACACAAATTCCCTCTCCTAAAGGGTAAACTTGTAACTTGTAAGACAATATAAAATGTGAACAAATTTAATATCACTACTACAACCATTTTTAAACTCCTGTGATTTAGTCAATGGAGTTATATTTAGAGATGGAGGTAACAGATGACTTGTTTTGCCAACAAAATGGAACATTTAACTACACGCACCTCACCGACTCCCATGAATGCACGGGCAACTAGTAGGAAAGGCAACCCGAGTTTAGCAGCAACAGGAGTGAGGATTGTAGCGACGGACCACCAAATGATGCCGAATCCCAAAACCTGCTTCCCTCCCACTGTGTCAGCCCAAATTCCACCAGCAATCTGCAACAAGTATCTACCTATGCATCAGAGTCATGGCCTTGAGTTCAAACTTATACCAAAAGAAAAATAGCTACTAATTAAAACGTATTTACCTGAGTGCTTGCTCAAAATTATTAACCAAACAAAAACACACGAAAACCAGACAAACACATACGAGATGAGGAAAAAAATGAAACCTGATACGAATTGCAGTTGGCCTGAGAAGTGGAGCACCGTTGACCGCCGTAGAAGCTCTGGTTTAGGAGTTTTTCATGAAGAAAATCTGACTGAGAATATAAAAGTGATAAGAATTGTGTTTTGATATTTATTATAAAACTACCTATGAAAGCGCTTTTAAAAGCACTTTCTAAAGGTCATCTATAACAGCTCTTTTACATCAAAAAGCGCTTTCGTATCATATCCTATAGCAGCGCTTTTAAAAGCGCTTTCTAAAGGCCAACTTTAGCAGCGCTTTGGAAAAGCGCTTTCTAAGGCTAACCTTTAGCAGCGCTTTTGAAAAGCGCTTTCTTAAGGTACCCTCTGAAAGGCCAGCTTTAGCAGCGCTTCCCAAAAAGCGCTTTCTAAGGGTGACCTTTAGAAGCGCTTATGAAAAGCGCTTTCTTAAGGCACCCTTTGAAAGCGCTTTTTTAAGCGAATTTTTTTTAAAACCTACAGCAGCGCTTTTTTCCAAAAGCGCTTTCTTTTATGTGCTGCTAAAACTTATTTTTGGCGTAGTGTATAATAGATATAAACAATTTCAACATTTTTCTTCTTCTCTGTCATAAAGTTTTAGGTTACTTCTTCACTAAGAAACTAAGTTAAAAGACTATTAATTAATGACACATATTACATATACATTGGTAAAAATTAAAATTATATAATTAGGCTCGATTGTTTATTTGTTTACAATTTTCACATTGTGTAATGGTATAATAGATGTAAAGAGTTTCAATATTTTACTTCTTCTTCATCACCAAATTTTAGGTTACTTCTTCACTAAGAAACTCAGTTAAAAGACTAATAATTAATGACCAATATTTCATATACATTGGTAATAATTCAAATTATATAGTAAGGATCGATAGTATATTTAATTACCATACTCATGTGGTATTATGGTATAATAGATATAAACAATTTCAACATTTTTCTTCTTCTCTGTCATAAATTTTTAGGTTACTTCTTCACTAAGAAACTAAGTTAAAAGACTATTAATTAATGACACATATTTAATATACATTGGTAAAAATTAAAATTATATAATTAGGCTCGATAATTTATTTGTTCACCATATTCAGATTGTGTAATGGTATAATAGATGTAAATAGTTTAAATATTTTATTTCTTCTTAATCACCAAATTTTAGGTTACTTCTTCAGTAAGAAACTAAGTTAAAAGACTATTAATTAATGACACATATTTCATATACATTGGTAATAATTCAAATTATATAATGAGGATCGATAGTATATTTATTCATCATACTCATATGGTATTATGGTATAATAGATATAAACAATTTCAATATTTTTCTTATTCTCTGTCACAAAATCTTATGTTACTTCATCACTATGAAACTAAGTTAAAAGACTGTTAATTAATGACACATATTTCATATACATTGGTAATAATTAAAATTTTATAATTAGGCTCGATAGTTTATTTGTTCACCATATTCAATTTGTGTAATGGTATAATAGATGTAAACAGTTTCAATATTTTAATTCTTCTTCATCACCAAATTTTAGGTTACTTCTTCACTAAGAAACTAAGTTAAAAGACTATTTATTAATGACACATATTTTAAATACATTCGTAATAATTCAAATTATATAGTGAGGATCGATAGTATATTTTTTCACCTTACTCATAAGGTATTATGGTATAATAGATATAAACAATTTCAATATTTTACTTCTTCTCTGTCACAAAGTTTTAGGTTACTTCATCACTAAGAAACTATGTTAAAAGACTATTATTTAATTACATATATTTCATATACATTGGTAATAATTTAAATTATATAATTAGGCTCGATAGCTTATTTGTTCACCATATTCACATTGTGTAATGGTATAATAGATGTAAAGAGTTTCAATATTTTACTTCTTCTTCATCACCAAATTTTAGGTTACTTCTTCACTAAGAAACTTAGTTAAAAGACTAATAATTAATGACCAATATTTCATATGCATTGGTAATAATTCAAATTATATAGTGAGGATCGATAGTATATTTATTCACCATACTCATATGGTATTATGGTATAATAGATATAAACAATTTCAATATTTTTCTTCTTCTCTGTCACAATGTTTTAGGTTACTACAGCACTAAGAAACTAAGTTAAAAGACTATTAATTAATGACATATTTTTCACATACATTGGTAATAATTAAAATTATATAATTAGGCTCGATAGTTTATTTGTTCACCATTTTCACATTGTGTAATGGTATAATAGATGTAAACTGTTTCAATATTTTACTTCTTCTTCATCACCAAATTTTAGGTTACTTCTTCACTATGAAACTAAGTTAAAATACTATTAATTAATGACACATATATCATATACATTGGTAGTGATTCAAGTTATATAATGAGGATCAATAGTATAGTTATTCATCATACTCATATGGTATTATTGTATAATAGATATAAACAATCTCGATATTTTTCTTATTCTCTATCACAAAATTTTAGGTTACTTCATCACTTTGAAACTAAGTTAAAAGACTGTTAATTAATGACACATATTTCATATACAATGGTAATAATTAAAATTTTATAATTAGGCTCGATAGTTTATTTGTTAACCATATTGACATTGTGTTATGGTATAATAGATGTAAACAAGTTCAATATTTTATTCCTTCTTCATCACCAAATTTTAGGTTACTTCTTAACTAAGAAACTAAGTTAAAAGACTATTAATTAACGACACATATTTCATATACATTGGTAATAATTCAAATTATATAATGAGGATCGATAGTATATTTATTAATCATACTCATATGGTATTATGGTATAATAGATATAAACAATTTCAATTTTTTTCTTATTCTCTGTCACAAAATCTTAGGTTACTTCATCACTATGAAACTAAGTTAAAAGACTGTTAATTAATGACACATATTTCATATACATTGGTAATAATTAAAATTTTATAATTAGACTCGATAGTTTATTTGTTCACCATATTCACATTGTGTTATGGTACAATAGATGTAAACAGTTTCAATATTTTACTTCTTCTTCATCACCAAATTTTAGGTTACTTCTTCACTAAGAAACTAAGTTAAAAGACTATTAATTAATTAACATTATTCATATATATTGGTAATTATTCAAATTATATAATGAGGATCGATAGTATATTTATTTACCATACTCATATGGTATTATGGTATAATAGATGTAAACAATTTTAATATTTTTCTTCTTCTCAGTCACCAAATTTCAGGTTACTTCATCACTAAGAAACTAAGTTAAAAGACTATTAATTAATGACATAGATTTAATATACATTGGTAATAATTAAAATTATATGATTAGGTTCGATAGTTTATTTTTTAAACATATTCACATTGTGTTATGCTATAATAGATGTAAACATTTTAATATTTTTCTTCTTCTCCATCACTAAATTTTATGTTACTTCTTCACTAAGAAACTAAGTTAAAAGACTATTAATTATTGACACATATTTCAAATATATTGGTTATAATTCAAATTATATAGTGAGGATCGATAGTATATTTATTCCCCATACTAATATGGTATTATGGTATAATAGATATAAACAATTTCAATATGTTTCTTCTTCTCTGTCACAAAGTTATAGGTTACTTCAGCACTAAGAAACTAAGTTAAAGGACTATTAATTAAAGACATATATTTCATATACATTGGTAATAATTAAAATTATATAATTAGGCTCGATAGTTTATTTGTTCACAATTTTCACATTGTGTAATGGTATAATAGATGTATAGAGTTTCAATATTTTACTTCTTCTTCATCACCAAATTTTAGGTTACTTCTTCACTAAGAAACTAAGTTAAAAGACTAATAATTAATGACCAATATTTCATATACATTGGTAATAATTCAAATTATATAGTAAGGATCGATAGTATATTTAATTACCATACTCATGTGGTATTATGGTATAATAGATATAAACAATTTCAATATTTTTCTTATTCTCTGTCACAAAATCTTAGGTTACTTCATCACTATGAAACTAAGTTAAAAGACTGTTAATTAATGACACATATTTCATATACATTGGTAATAATTATAATTATATAATTAGGCTCGATAGTTTATTTGTTCACCATATTTACATTGTGTAATGGTATAATAGATGTAATCAGTTTCAATAATTTACTTCTTCTTCTTCACCAAATTTTAGGTTACTTCTTCACTACGAAACTAAGTTAAAATACTAATAATTAATTACACATATTTCATATACATTGGTAGTAATTCAAATTATATAATGAGGATCGATAGTATAGTTATTCATCATACTCATATGGTATTATGGTATAATAGATATAAACAATTTCGATATTTTTCTTATTCTCTATCACAAAATTTTAGGTTACTTCATCACTTTGAAACTAAGTTAAAAGACTGTTAATTAATGACACATATTTCATATACAATGGTAATAATTAAAATTTTATAATTAGGCTCGATAGTTTATTTGTTCACCATATTGACATTGTGTTATGGTATAATAGATGTAAACAAGTTCAATATTTTATTCCTTCTTCATCCCCAAATTTTAGGTTACTTCTTAACTAAGAAACTAAGTTAAAAGACTATTAATTAATGACACATAATTCATATACATTGGTAATAATTCAAATTATATAATGAGGATCGATAGTATATTTATTCATCATACTCATATGGTATTATGGTATAATAGATATAAACAATTTCATTATTTTTCTTATTCTCTGTCACAAAATCTTAGGTTACTTCATCACTATGAAACTAAGTTAAAAGACTGTTAACTAATGACACATATTTCATATACATTGGTAATAATTAAAATTTTATAATTAGACTCGATAGTTTATTTGTTCACCATATTCACATTGTGTTATGGTACAATAGATGTAAACAGTTTCAATATTTTACTTCTTCTTCATCACCAAATTTTAGGTTACTTCTTCACTAAGAAACTAAGTTAAAAGACTATTAATTAATTAACATTATTCATATACATTGGTAATTATTGAAATTATATAATGAGGATCGATAGTATATTTATTTACCATACTCATATGGTATTATGGTATAATAGATGTAAACAATTTTAATATTTTTCTTCTTCTCAGTCACCAAATTTTAGGTTACTTCATCACTAAGAAACTAAGTTAAAAGACTATTAATTAATGACATATATTTAATATACATTGGTAATAATTAAAATTATATGATTAGGTTCGATAGTTTATTTTTTAAACATATTCACATTGTGTTATGCTATAATAGATGTAAACATTTTAATATTTTTCTTCTTCTCCATCACTAAATTTTATGTTACTTCTTCACTAAGAAACTAAGTTAAAAGACTATTAATTATTGACACATATTTCAAATATATTGGTTATAATTAAAATTATATATTGAGGATCGATAGTATATTTATTCCCCATACTCATATGGTATTATGGTATAATAGATATAAACAATTTCAATATGTTTCTTCTTCTCTGTCACAAAGTTATAGGTTACTTCAGCACTAAGAAACTAAGTTAAAGGACTATTAATTAAAGACATATATTTCATATACATTGGTAATAATTAAAATTATATAATTAGGCTCGATAGTTTATTTGTTCACAATTTTCACATTGTGTAATGGTATAATAGATGTATAGAGTTTCAATATTTTACTTCTTCTTCATCACCAAATTTTAGGTTACTTCTTCACTAAGAAACTAAGTTAAAAGACTAATAATTAATGACCAATATTTCATATACATTGGTAATAATTCAAATTATATAGTAAGGATCGATAGTATATTTAATTACCATACTCATGTGGTATTATGGTATAATAGATATAAACAATTTCAATATTTTTCTTCTTCTCTGTCACAAAGTTTTAGGTTACTTCAGCACTAAGAAACTAAGTTA